GCGGGAATGCTGCTTAAAGAAAGATGTTTTGTTTTGTTTTCAAGGGTATCAATTGGAGAAAAAAAAAAGAAAGATAGCTCAGAATAAGTTTTAGAGAGCCATAATTTCCCATTTATTTTGGAAGGCTAGTCAGTAACTAGACAGATGGAAAAGTGAATTGATAAGATTTTTTTTTTAGAAGAGGATTTTAGAGAACTATGTGCAGTTAGTATTTATAAGGTTTGTTTTTAATGCAAATTTGCATTAATTTCACACTGAGAAGAGTGAAATATTCACTTTCTACTTGTCATGGACTAGCTTACTGCCACTATGCTGGAGGAGCTGAAAAATGCCTGGAGGTGTGGTACGGATAACGGAACACTGCTTAGTATGTTTAACTTGGAGTTTTATGAAGACTTTTATATTGATCTAAAGCTCTGAAAATTTGTGAAGACCAACTGTGGTTTTATTTTGGGCGTTTCTAACAGGGCACCTTCTCAGGGCCGATTTTTTTGTGACCCACCTACCTGTTTCTGGGCTAACCGCCGGCCTTCTCATCTGCCATGCCTTGTTGTTAATTAATTGATGTTAATCAAGTGGATGGTTGTCCATTTCTTGTCCCAATGTCAGGGGGCGCTAGCTGCGGCTCTGTTCCTCCCCTACACCACAGCCCAAGCCTCACAGATGGCATCCATAGTTCTTACAATCACCGGCCCCATGCTGGGCCCCAGACTTCTCCGATTAGGACCCCTCTAAGATCCCTCCATTCCGGCAGCCTAATCCACCTTCATTCTCAGCTACATAGCTCCCTGAGCTGCTTCCCCCTTACAGGTGTGGTCCCCCTGGGACCTTTGCCTCTACTGGCCCTGGCCCAGCTCCAGGCCAGTTGGAACCCCAGGCCCTCAGCTCTGGGCATACCTTGCGGTCGGCCCCTGGCCCTTCGACCCTTCTGGTCCTGGACCCGGCATGGACCAGTCGGGGGATGTCAATACAGGTTTGAGTCTATGTCCCCACTCTCTCGCCGGGGTCCACCTTCCAGACCCTACAAGAGGGTAACCCACCCAGTTGTGGGAGCTGGGGTTAAGGCGCCCCAACCTACCTTTCACCAGGGTGGTAACTGGCCTGACATTTCCTGGGGGCTCCCGCGCTACTGAGAGCCCCCATCAGGTCACCCACTCCCGGCAGGGTGCAGTTTTAGGTCATGCCCAGGACCAGGAGCCTCCTGACCATCCCCTACAGCTCCTCCCTTATCTCCAGAGTGATACCTGCAGCCCCGCAGCCAGGCAATGTTGTTGCCTGGCCTTCCAGCAGCAAAATGCCCTGTTTATATGGGAAGCCCTGAATCCAAAATGGCTGCCCTAATCAGGCACCTGCCGGCTGCTGTCTTCAGCCCCTTAAAGTGGCAGGCACAAGCAGTGCCCTGCCACAGCGTTATAAACATACCCTTGACTGAGGTATATATGTGGTTAAAGTGGTCATTAAAATATTCCTAAGGAACTAGGAAATTATTCTGAGCAAACATTACAACTGACAGTACACTTAGATGAAGGAAGTAAAATAAATCTCAAACAGGACGTTACTTAAGCAAACCCATATTAATGAAGTGGCTTGTAAGTAAGGCACGCAAACAATGCACCGAATTCCACGCCCTGCCCACCTCTATTTTACCCATTCTGCCCCATTCAAAAAAAAAAAAAAAAAAAAATCAAGGATTTCATTCCTTGGCATACTAAGCAGCCATTAGGTGTCAAGTCATAAGATGGATCCTTTCCCCCCACCCCATTCGTTAGAAACTAGTTTTAATAAATGGAAAAGTCCCTTTGTCTCTCCCCCTTTCCATACCTCACTGCTATAATGCGTACTGGCTGAGATCGCTGCACCTTCTGCCTTGGAGACATAGGGTGAAGTGAACTTGTTCCTGAGGATGGCAATTGGCTGCGATTAAATTGACCGTTTTGAAGAAGTGGAGTGGTTTCTGACTGCATACTGCAGGTAGTGTACAAGCTTTCAAATGAGGAGTTCATGTCGTTTACCAAAGCTTCTAGGTCCACATCGTCATCTGCAAAATAAAATAAGGATTGCATGAAACATATGAAGACTACAGCTAAAAAAACATGACAAGAAACCTGTCTTGGTTTTGTAAAGAGATTGGGTACTCTCCTATTACTACACAGGTTTCCCTCGCTTTATGCTGTACATGCATTCCTGGAAAACAGTGCATAACTCGAATTCTCATAAGAGGAACCCACTTTACAATGTAACAAATAGGGATATGTTCCAAAACCTCAACTGTACTGACCCTCACTTTCTACCACTTTTACAAGACAATTTTGGTACTCACCAACAGCAGACAATACACACAAGCACAGGGCACTATTAAAATAGGGATGGCACCTACAGAAACATGGCGCAGACAACGAGTGAGGAGCACAGATCCACACAGGAGACTATATTTTGGTGTGCGCCACTCCCACAATGCACCATACAAAGCAGCTGACTGTGGGCTTCCACCACACCAATCGCATAAGAGTAAATTTACCTTGCATATAATGAATTTTTAGTATAAATAGGGTCATCACATAAGAATACACATAAAGCAAGGGAAACCTGTATATCCTTGAAGTCCAAATTTCTTACACAACGTCTTGAACCATTGTGAAAAGGTAAGTTCACAATTTAAGAAAGCCAAAAAACAATTGTGACAACTATTGAGAGGACAAGCAACCTCAAAGTTAATTGTTAAAAGTCACTAGGTTCACTACCGTCAAGGTATATTTGGCCTGCATAGTGGATGAATGTACAATCACAGGTCTCATTCACTGTCAATACCAATTACCATATTTACTCAAATATAAGATGACCCCTCCCAATCAGAACGGGGGAAAAGCCCCTCATTTTATGTTTGCATGTGAAGCCAAGGGGAGAGCAGGCAGCTGCTGCAGCTCTGACTCTGGCCCTGAGCCCAGGCTGGGGCCGAGCCAGACCAGACCCACAGCAGCCTCCTGCCTCCCCCTCCACCTCTGGTCTGCTCTGCAGCTTCTGCCCATCCACTTCCCTCCCCCTTATTGTCTCTCTTGGGCACAGAATGCATGGAACCTCATTCCCCTAACCGGCCAATCGGCAACACTGACACTGCTGCACGGGCAGTCAAGAACTGAGATTCCATGTGCCATGCTCCAGGACAGAGCAGCTCAAGCACCATCAGACTGTAAGGGGCAGGGAGGTAAAAAGGCAGAAACTGCAAAAGTAGTTGGGGAGGAGGGGCAGAGACTGGGGGGAGTTTGGGGGGCATGATGCAGAAACTAGAGATGTGGGGGTAGGGGACATGTGGTGGGGGGAGCAGGAAGGCTGCAAAGGGAAGGGGGTGGGGCAGAGGGCAAGGGGGTCACCTGACCCCTGCCCCAGCAACTGGTTCCCCTGTTGTAGCAGTGTGAGGAGTGGGGAGGGGTGATTCAAGACAACCCTACTTAGATTCTAGACCTGGAAAATTTTTTTTTTTTTTAATTTCCTTCCATATATAGCATCCAATTATTGGGGGGGGGGGGGGGG